TATATATATATATATATATATGATTCATAGATCGTTGGAGTAATATCTTGGGTTCTTCATGATATTTATCATGCCAATCTAATTAATTAGCTCTCCTGCAAGTAAAAGTGAGCTATATAATACCAGCAGCAGAATGTATTTAGTGGCCAGATTTATGCCTTTCGTAAGGGAAATTAATGCCAAGTGACAGAATTTACCAGCATTCGAACTTGGATCACCGAATCCTTACTATATGTTAACTGTTCCAAAATTGTTGCCCTGTCTTAGAAAAACTGAGCATTATCTATCTATCTATCTATCAATGGTTAGTACGCTTATCTCACAAACCAATACATTTATCATGCAGATAGTATTTCACTGGATACACCCCTGTTATGGTTGTGTACGTGATTAATCTAAAAATATATATATATATATATATATATATATATATATATATATATATATATATATATATATATATATATATATATATATATTCATCTTATATCATTCTAATTATTATAAAGCCGATCTGTTTGTTAATATACGATTACGATGTTATAATGATTTTAATTAGAAATGTATCCAAAATATTTACATATATATGCTAAGTTAATCTAATGCTAAATTTGTACTCCACAGTCTCACATCGTTTCTTTCTATCTATCTATCTATCTATCTATCTATCTATCTATCTATCTATCTATCTGCATACATGTAAGTAAAGGTTATTATGAATATATTCATTGTTGCAGTCGCGGTATCGGCATTTGTTTCGTGAGAAAATAGTGTTTATATACGATGAACGAGCGATTTGCCAGATGCTGGCTTCTCCCACCGATCTGTGCTTGTAGCTTTCTCGCGTACAGAAGCCAACGTGTTGCTTACTGCTAGCTGTTGATTCTATCGTCTAACAGGTTGTTAAAAGACTGCCACAAGCGAATGAAGCGAAAACACAAAGGATAAGGAGAAAGAAAGAATTCAGAAAGAAAGGCAAAGCGCGCTGGTCATTATAAGAGATTTTAAGTGCAAGTGGAAGGGAGAGGGGTAGATGGAAAGGTGAAGCGAAAGAATGAAAGAGAACGAGAGAGAGAAGAAGAAGAAGAAAGAGGATCATCAGAGAAACATAAACAAAGAACAGATGAATCGTGAAAAAGAGAGGAAGAGAAAAGAGTGATATGAGTGGGGGTACATTAGAGAAAAAGTTAAGAAGGAATTAAGAGAAAGAGAGTAAGAAGTAAAATCTAAAAGGAAGTGAATAACAAAGAAAGAACCGAAAGAGGAGTATGAAAAGTGAGATTGTACTGAATTGGAAATGATAGGTAAGAAAGAAGAGAGAGAGAAAGAGAGAGAGAGAGAGAGAGAGAGAGAGAAAGAGAAAGAAAGATAAAGAGGGTGAAAGAAGGTGCGCGCGAAAAGCGATACAGTACGTTTGCAAAAGGATAGATACTATCAATGGATGAAAGAAAGTAAAAAAGAAAGAAATTGTTTAAAACGAAGCAGATTGACGGAAGAAGTACGGTGGTAGGTTGGGGTGGGGGTGGAGAACGAATCAGCAAGCAGGCGAACGGCCTCTTCTGTTGAAAGGATCGATATCTCTACCAAAGAATCGATCAGTGTTCTTGGGGCTCTTCCAAGAAATTCTCAATCACTCACTATAAGTTCTCTTCCACTCTCCACCCCTTCCCCATCATATCTCCGCGTCCTTCATTCCAACCACTGCACCACTCTACCCTCACACCACGTTGGCAACGATAGTGCTGAGCTGAGCTTGGCTTATGCTGTTGATTCACGCTTCTGTCTATTTTCGTAACTAGAGCTATATTCGGCATTCTACCCTCGGCTGTTAGCTTGGAAAGCAGGCCGATAGTGAATCAAAAACAGATTTGTTGCCTTCCCTATCGTCTTTTCTCCCTTTGTTCACACAATCGCTACTTTCTTTCCGTTTTCTTTCTTACTTCCATGTCGTACTCCATTTCATCACTCATCCTCTTTATTTTCCTTTGTTTCAATCATTTACTGTACCTTTTTCTATCTGATTTCTACTTTCACTTTCGTTTTCAAATTTTATTCGAATAACATTTTACGTTGTTCCTTTTTCTTTTCTTTTTTTTTCTTTTTCATTAAGCATTAAAAAGCCCACTTACATTTTATTTCTGTCTTCTCCCGGCGGGGGTTAATATACACTTCCTGTCTGTCTTATCACCCACCTGCTGTTCTAATCAGAATCTATCACCTATATTTCAACTTTGTACCAAAATAAAATTTAAACAAAAAGGCCGTGAATGAGAAAAGAAGATAGGATAAGAAAAATAAAGAGAAACATTAAAAATGGAAAAGGTTTAATATAAACAAATAGATAACTACATTTTTTTTAATAAGGAAGAAATCGATTTTCCTCATACATCGCACTACGCCGGTAAAAATTACTTTGGCTGTCATTATTATACAGGGAGTGATAATTCTAAACTTCGAGATTTTAGTATACAAGGGAAATATAATTAAAAGGGAAAATATCATTAAAGAAAACGGTTAATATCTTCTTTGTTGATGCAAAAAATGTACATGGAAGTATTTAGTATTCAGATACATTATTTTAGCTTGAATATCTGCTATAATACAGTAGGTCAAACCGGTCGAAGGTAGTTGAAGCATAAGAAAAAGAAAATAGGATCCTCTTAGTGCAATGGAGTGGTTCTCTTTGGATGGTACTTTTGCTGTTTTAAATATCGGCGTGTGTCTGTATGTATCTGTGTATGTAGAGATCAGCATTACTGAAGAAAGACTAAGTCAAAAGAGTATTTTTAATTCGGGAAGATATAGAAAATATTTTGAAATGAATATTTATTAAAATGAACAGAATCAAAATAGTACTTAGAGACACCCGCTAGGGATCGAACTCACATCAGCATAAGAAATCACTTTGCAAACTAAAGCTCTAAAGTTGTAATCTTATTAAATGGAAATAGTATACCATATATATAACACAATTATATTTTCAACTAGAAAATAGAGTTGAAATTTAGTATGGTTAGCTTAGTATGACTCATGGGCATATATAGTGGAGCACTCAGCAAAAATCAAAACGACTATACTGTGTGACTAGCTTGCTATCTATCTCTCTTCGGGATACGCCCTCTGTCATCTTAAGAGCATAGCATAAAGTTTCATCTTTTCTTTATAATAAGGATTAGTCAAATTCAAACAGTTGCTTTTAGTTCAATGAAGTGCGAAATTCATTCGATTTCGAGAACTTAAAACACCCAGTGAAAAATATCGAAAAATACTAATAAATAATCAGTAAAATAAATCTGAAATTTAATTTAAAACCACTGGTAACTTTCTGAGATTTTAACACAAGAGTGGCACTTAAAGACTTCAGCAGATAATATATTCGATACACACAAAGAAATAGAGGCAAGTGATGAGCGTATGTGCATTGAGGCAACACACAATAGTCGAAACCTTTTTTCTCCCTTCCTATCAAGGTCATTCCGTTAGAATATTGTTACAAGGTTGTCAGTAAGGATTCTGCATTTGAGAAAACAAATTGCTAATCGCTTACTTCGCAGATTTAGCCTTAAAGGCGAGAAGCGACCAATCAACTTCAGTAAAAAAAAGTTTTTTAGGTTGTAATTGATAAAGTTCAGTATAGAACACAAAAGAAATTGGAATAAACGAAATATGTATCAACACCACATGTATGTGACTACATATGCGTCGATATATATGTATGGGAGTTAACATGAGCTAAGAGTTTGTAGATATACAGTCAAGAAAGACACAACATTAAAATTAACGCAGAAAAATACATCACTCCGTAGACGATATCAAGTAATTTTTGCCAATTATAGGTTGACATATATATATATATATATATATATATATATATGTGTGTGTGTGTGTGTGTGTGTGTGTGTGTGTGTGTATGTATGTATGTTTGTGCGTGTTTATGTATGTCAACGTGTATATATATATATATATATATATATATATATATGTATGTGTGTGTATGTGTGTGCAAATTTGAGGAAGTGAATTATTCTCTTGCGAAATAAGATCCACCACCTTTTCAAACACGTCAAGCAGACACAAGATTCTCCACTCGAAAAATCTCTTATGCATATATATATATATATATATATATATATATATATATATATATGTGTGTGTGTGTGTGTGTGTGTGTTTGTGTGTGTGTGTGTGTAATTGTTTGCCTATATATGGAGATTTTTTGTCACTAATTGATCATTATTGAAAATCATTATTCCAATGGTTTTTAAGTGTGTGTGCATGTGTGTGTATGTGCATACACGAGCGTCAGTATAAACACACGCTTATATTTAATATCTATATATTCGTAGTTTTGCGTGTGACGGATGATATATTCATGTTTATACACACATACAATAGATACATTCTTGTTACCCCATTGTTCGTTGAGTTTCATTTTCACTCTGTATTCCAACATTGTTGCCCTTTCTTAGAGAAAACAGAGCATTCTCTATCTATCTATCTATCTATCTATCTATCTATCTATCTATCTATCTATCTAGGCAGCTAACTAGCTAGCTATGAGTATATATAGATATTTCACTGCTGTATTAGTGTATAACTATGACTATAGCCCGAGGCCTCAGTCATAGAGAATTTTCCATGTAATATGCCTGCGAGAAGCACGAAATTATATCTTTGCAAATATTTAATACCACACTATTAAAACATTTTACAAGCACATTAATGTAGTCATTTTCACCTACAGTATGTAGACTAAATTATGACCATGAAGTTAACAGTGAGAAATAATTGTGCATAAAATGAAATGAATACCACTTCCTAATATTGTATCTTCAATACAAGATAAAAGTCATGCTAATGTTGCTAATGTATTTAATGACACAAATCTATCTATCTATCTATCTATCTATCTATCTATCTATCTATCTCACTTTTCATATATATATATTCATGCATAGACGACCATATATATACGTTCATTAACATATGCACAAATATGTATGACCAAATATATGCGTTTTTTTATATACCCACGTTATCTATCTATCTATCTATCTATCTATCTATCTATCTATCTGTGTGTTTGTGTAGATAAGATAGATAGATACCTAGAAGTGATTAATTATATCCCAATATAGATTATATATATTATATATATAATATACATTATATATGTGTGTGTGTGTGTGCGCGTGTGTTTGTATGTGCATATGGATGAATACTTACATATATTTAAATGAGCATATATATTATTATTGACGTATTAGCATAATTTGTAAGCTACTATACATACATACATACATACATACATATATATATATATATATATATATATATATATATATATATATATTGCATATATAAATTCAATTAAAAAAAACATTTAGGAGAATTATACCTGTATTTCGTACGTGACAGTTTGGATAAACCTTAAGCACAAACAGAGTCACACAGAAAGTCACACATACGCAAAATCATATTTTTTTTTCAAGCGGTGACAAAGTTATGTATATATGGATCCATGGCAGGCGCTGATATAACAAATGTATAGATAACTAGAAACTGAAAAATCATATAGAATCGCTCTTGTGGTTTTAGCTTAATGTAAATTACATTTCAGAAACGCCCTTTAGTCGTCCGACGCGAAATTGGTTCTTTCTCTAGGCCATCTTCTCTCCCTTTCTCCATTTCATCCACTCCTATTCTTTTACTACGTTCTTTTTTACACACATACAGGCATATTTACACACAGACACACACACGCGCCTGCGCGCGCACACACACACACACACACACACACACACATATATATATATATATATATATATATATACTCTATTTTGTGGTATATCAAATGCATTTTTCCCCAAAATCTGGCATTCATAATTAACGTTGTGAATGTTAGGCACGGGATCAAACGTGGAATCTTCCAATGACGATCTAGGCAGGCTCTAAAATTTTCCTCGATTTTATTTTCTAAAACTATTCATGCTAAATTTAGAGTCTGTCCTATATCCTAGTGTATCTTAGATACCGCAAAATACGATATATATATATATATATATATATATATATATATATATATATATGTATTACTTAAAAGTAACTGATTTTGCTCCAGCCAATAACAATAACAATTTCATTTTTAATTCACAATTCGAAAACTGTCATCTAATTTAAATTTCTTTGGTCGAAAACGGGCACTCAAATTATCTACTACTCTCTGTCTGGAAGAGAGAGGCAGAAAGCTAAGTGAAAGAAATATTTAGAGAGAGTGAACGAGTTGCTCACTTGAATACTACCTCTCAAGTATAGACCCATAATTATCAGAGAGAATTGATATTTTCTCCGAATAATAGCAACAGATTCATGAAAAACTAGCTTAATTATATAATGAGAAGGAAATAATGATCGTTTTTACACGCGAACTGCAATAAAGAAACGAATTAAGTTTTCTCCAAAATCAGTTAACGTGGTTTAGTGTAAAATAGGTGTTTTCTTTCTATGCCATTTCCCTTGAGGACGTAGGCAGACATATTTTCCACAGATTTCTTTTCTTTATTATCTATGAATTGCCATGATTTGTTGGTAAAGATTGTGGAGTAGTTTCCCGTTGCCTACTTCATAGTTCGGAATTCAGAGGTTTTTCCTTTTCTTAGACTGGTTGTCAGTCTACACTAACATTTAACTCATATAAGGGGGAAGAAGGGATGGATTCAGGTCTTTCCCAAACGCATTCTTGCTGATGTTAAACGTGGCATTGAATGATGAAAAAGCCTACACACACACACACACACACACACACACACACACACACACACACACACACACACACACACATTTATATATATATATATATATATATATTGATTTCTTTTAATCTGTTTCTTTCTCAACTAACTGTATTCTTATCCATCCATCCATCCATCGATCCACCCATATATCTATCCATCCATATCCACATCCACACACACACACACACACAGACACACACAGACACACACATATGTGTGTGTTTGTGTGTCTGTGTGTGCGTGTGTGTGTGCGTGTGTGTGCGTCTGTCATCCTCCGTTTTCCTATTTTCCTAACTTTCATTTTTCTATCTCTTTGTCTGCACACTTTCTGGCTGTTGGAACGAATTGCACGTACCGTAAATAATAAATGTTTCCGAAACTTGTTGCTCTGTATTCTCGTCTCTGGCGACAAAATATCTTCTTTTCCTTCTATCTTTCCCGCATAATGTTTTGTTTTTTATTTATCTAAATAACATTTTATAGGAAATCGGACTAATACGAATGATAATAATAGCAATAATTTTATCAACCAGTCAAAAAATTCTCAAGAGAATTTTTGTGAAAGAAAATGTGTCGTTTGACATCACAGTCCATATAGTGCCTCTCCTTTAAATGAGGATTTTCTGTTATTTTAATGGTTTTATCCGTAAGCTTTATACCCTTTCCTTTTGTCTTTTTATATATTGCTCTAAAACAAAATAACAAATTTTCTCATCTAAATTCTGTTCTTTCTCATTGAATTCGATTTATCGACCGTCAATAACAATAGATCACATAGATAAACGTATATTTATCCCATACATTTGTGAATATCCAATGTGCATATGATTTTTATATTATCTTCAAAGCATGAAAAAAACAAAACAAAAAAAAACTGTTGGGTTAGTCGTCTGGCTGGTTCCGTAGATGGTTCGTTTCGGCTCAGCCTCACAGAACCGTGTTGTGTTTTATCGCCAAACAAGAATACTGTAAAATTATATAGGTCTATAGGTAGTGGGTCTAGAATAGACAGTAGGGTTAGTACATTATATATACAGCAAACCACACTATTCGCTGCATGAATCAACGCAAAATTTCGTTGCCACTATTTAGGAAAGTGCGACTATATCCCACTTTACGCGTGTAATTAAACTCTTACTACGAGATCCTTCTGAAATACAAATATTCAGCACCTCTTCTCCAGAGTTTCGTAGACGAACCTTTGTGTAATCGTTTTATCCACTCGTCAGAAGGTATCAGCAAATATATACATATATATATATATGTGTGTGTTTGTATGTTTGTGTGTGTGTATGTTTGTGTGTGTGTTTGTGTGTGTTGATTGTTTCCCATTCTAGTCTGTAGCTTTGTAGTTTACTTAAGCCGATGTAACTTGGTCGTTCAACTGAAAATTGTATTATTGTTTGTTTTTAAGACCATGTACATCGAATTAATTTTTGAGAAGTTCTTGTCTATTTTTATAAGAGAAATCTAATTGCGACTACTTTTATCACAGACTTTTACTATATTAGTAGACACCTTATGTACTGCCTAAAAATGTAGTATTTAAAAAATAAACATAAACGTTTCTTAAAAGATTTTATTAAAAGTCTTGATGGACGATTGTAATTCTATTAGTATTAATCGCTTAGCAGGAATTCGTTTTAACGGGAATTAAAATCGGGACGAATTAAGCGAATAAAGTGGGTTTTGGCTGTATATAGTATTAGGTATAGGCGAGTGTAGTTATTCAATCTTATTTTGTTATTTTCTTCATTTCTTACCGACAATGAAGACACTTTCATAAATAATCCTTTAATGCATTTATACGCCTGGTGTTATACATACGTATACATGCTTCTATTTACTGTCAGTTTATCTATTAAACTCTTTTCTATTAACATATCTGCGTGTCTATCTATCTGTGACTATCAGTTTCAGTTTATGCATCTTTCTCTTCTGTCAATCTTTCAATATGTGAAACACTATATCCGTCTATGATCATCCATTTTAGCTTGTCCATATCTATCTATCTATCTATCTATCTATCTATCTATCTATCTATCTATCTATCTATCTATCAATCGATCGATTTATCACTGTCTATTCATATTGGTCTATCTTTGTGTATCTCAGTCTATTCATATCTATCTATCTATCTATCTATCTATCTATCTATCTATCTATCTATCTATCTATGTCAGTCTGATCATATCTATCTATCTATCTATCTATCTATCTATCTATCTATCTATCAGTTTGTTCTTATTTATGTCATTCTCATTTTTTCATTTCTATCAACCGACTCATCTACTTTTCCCTTTATATATCATCGTTTTTCTCTCTATCTAATCCCCGCTCTCTCCCCACTTTCTCTCTCTCTCTCTCTATATATATATATCTATCTATCTATGTTTGTTTGTCTTTGTCTATATTATTATAACTACCTGTGGCTATTTATCTAGTCCAGGATTTCTGTCAGTCTATCGTAAAATACATTATTTAAACTTATACTCATATCCATCTGCAATCATCATCACAAACTCTTTCACATTTACACAAATTCCTACAACCGACTTTTCATGTCTTGTAATAATCATAACACATTCATATTACTTTTTTTTTCTAAATTCTAAGCAATATAAAAGGAGGTGATTGCTGGGAAAGTCACTTCAAAGGTCTCAGTGGTTTTTCCGCCGATGTTCAAATCTGCAATCCATCATTATAAAAATGGTTGCTTGACGACAAAGGATTTAACACTGCTCTATTGAGCAAGTTGTTCACGTCCCTTATTACAATTTTAGCCAGCATCTTCTGTTGCACTCGAATCTAGGAACGAGTGTTTCTTTGCCAACATCGGACAGGATAATACGACTAATAGTAAAAGTTGAAAATGGGTGTGTGCATTATGAGCGAGTAATTCACACTTAATATTAAAAAACACACAAAAAACGACTGTGGTTTATACAGCTATCGTTGTAGAGACTAGACCAGAGTTCCCCAAACGTTTTAGATTTCGATCCCTTCAATAAATCGTTGGAAATTCATCGACTATTTTTAATAAGAATATTACAAATTGTAATAAAAATGAGAATCGGTTATTAAAAACAAATAACAGTAATAGTAATAATAATAGCAGTAAAAATAAACCTGTAAAGAGTGTATTATTACATCTTTATAAATCATATAACATCATTAATTGGAAGAATTTTGTGGATTATCATTCAGAAGATTTTTATATTTAGAAATGAACAAGTTTTTAATCATAAATCAATTTCACCATTGCGAAACGTTTGGAGTACTCATTAATAATAGTTGCTCTATTTACCTGCAAAGAAAGTGAACCTGTTACTTTTCAGAAATAGTTGATTCGAGGTCAACGGATCTGAGTCAAAGGTTAATGATCATGTGTTAGTTCTTGTTGCAGGTGAAAAAGATGTACAATGAAAATAAAGCTGGCGTTTTTAGTTCGTAAATTATACAATTTTTCCTTTCGATCCTAAAATCTTAATCGATGTTCTCAAATGTCCTCTAGTGTTTCTTTTTCAATCTACTGAGATGTCTCATCGATCCCTAGTGATCGACATCAAAAACTTTGGGAACCCCTGATTTAGGCTTTAAGCCTCTTATTAGACTTATTAGCCCTACTTGTGACGGCTTAAGCTAGAAAGCAGTTGTTATATCTGAATTGGTTCTCAGGCTCTGGTAAAAAAAAAGAGGATATGATAGCAGTGGTACGAAAGGAAATGTAACACAGGCTAAAAGATCCGTTTTGAATGTTGTGATATTTTGCGCTTATGTTATCCTTGGGAAAAGCAGGCACTTCAAAACTCCAGGCATCTGTATAAAAATACCAGTCCGGATCAATCCTGACAAAATCAAATGGACTTGAAATGATGACCTACTGTGTTCTATCAACCGACTCGTCTACTTTTCCCTTTATATATCATCATAGTAACAACGCAAAAAGATGGATGAGAATCTGAGTAGTTTGAAAGATTGTATAAACGAGTGATAGATTATTGAGTTAACAAGTAAATGATTACACTTGTAGTGCATTTGCAGTCACTGTAAGAGTGTATTTATGCACTTTGGCAACGTTACAGTTAACTGAATTTATGGACACATCAGGAGTGCACACGCATTCCATAGCAATAATTCTTTTTTTTTTCATTTCAGAACTATTTTAATTAGCAATAAATTTTGCAAATGGGTCAAACACATTTTGATCCTGATTTCTGAATATGAATCAAACCAAGGGTGAAGCAAACTTTGATATATTAACCGTCAATCTTCCCGTTGTTATGGGAAATATTTTGCCGGTCAATGAGCCTTTAAATAAAAACCTCTCCTAAAGCAATAATATAAACCGTTTGATATATTTTGGCAGTAAACTTTAGAATCCAAGGTACCACTTTTGTAAAACTTTATTATTTAATTCACACCGTGCTGTCCATCAGGAAAAAACGAGGGAGAATGCCATACTTTTTTAGTGCTCATATATATATATATATATATATATATATATATATATATATATATATATATATGTACGGATTGTTTCTAATCTCGAATTTCCAAAATTCAAAAGGGCTCAAATAAAGCAATTGTCAAGTTGAACTCGAAAATATTCCAAAATTTTTAATTAAAAAAGAGGATATGATTAAACAATAACTAATGGTACGGTGCTTTCCTGAACCTTTTTCCGTTAATTTTAGTGTATTTTAAATGGTTGTGACGTCGACCCACTTTTGGGTTGTTTGATGCCCAATAAAATATCGTTGTGGAGGTTGTGATTTTAGACGACCGGACCGTAACCATTGTGAAAAAAAAAAAAAAAAGTTGAAAAAAAGATAAAATATATTGTCAATAAAATAAAAGTCAAAATAAATATTTAATACGTAGAGGTTATGACCTTTATGATCTGTTTGCCACATGGTTTCTAAATGGTCGCGGTTAAGGCTGTTCGATCTTTTACGATCGATCAGACTGAAGAGTGACTTTATTATTATTTTTAATTTAAAGAACAGTCGTATATATAGAGACAACGACCAAGTTCTGCAGTTGCCAAAATGTTTGTTGTTCGCAACTGGGATTCATTAGCAATAACGTTGCTAACGTTATAAAAAAGAAAGAAAATATTCCACCTGCCAAAATAAAAAAAACAAAAAACGTTAGGAACATTGATAAAAAGAAAATCTGTGTTTGCAATACAAGTATGTTGTGATCGTTTTTACAGGGTTTAGTTTTATGATTATGTATGTAATGATGCAATTCGTGACGTTTTTGGTATGCTTGAGACTATAAATCAAATATGGCCGATTTGCTTCTTTTTTTTGTAACAAGAAATCACCCTATAATCGAGTTTCGACTTTTCGGATATTTTTCTTAAATTTTCGTTTTGTGCTGTGCATCTCCTCCTCATAAAAATAACAAACAATCAATAAAAAAATGTTGCTTTCTTTTTATCTGAAACTTATTCATCGTTTCTTTCGTTCTAAAAGCTTTATCTTTTATTTTAATTCTTCAGCTCTTTCTTCCCGCATTTTTTTTGGTCCTTCTTTTCTTTCTTTTTTCTACACTTTTCCAAAATGTTGTCTAGTTTTTAATTTACCCCTTTCCTGATAACCTCTTATTCCTGTTGCTGACTCTCTTTTCTTCCCTTTGCTTACTCTTTTCTTCCCTTTGCTTACTCTCTTTTCTTTCCTTTGCTTACTCTCTTTTCTTCCCTTTGCTTACTCTCTTTTCTTTCCTTTGCTTACTCTTTTTTCTTTCCTTTGCTTACTCTTTTTTCTTCCCTTTGCTTACTGTCTTTTCTTTCCTTTGCTTACTCTCTTTTCTTTCCTTTGCTTACTCTCTTTTCTTCCCTTTGCTTACTCTCTTTTCTTCCCTTTGCTTACTCTTTTTTCTTCCCTTCGCATACGCTCTTTTCTTCCTTTTGCTTACTCTCTTTTCTTTCTTTCGCATACTCTTATTTCTTCTATTTGCTTAATATAAGTTCTTCCCATTGCTTTCTCCCATTTATTTTTTACTCTTTATACAAATGTCGTCATTACATTTTCTCCCTATCTTTTCTCTCTTCTCTTTTTTCTTTTCTACACTCTTTCCTCGCATTTTCTCTACTTGTTACTTACATCTTCTTACTTTCTCTTTACTCTCCCACCTTCCCTTCTCTTCCAGATTTGCTTTTCTGATTATCTTCCTCCTGTATCCTCCAACTGTTCCTTTTCATTATTCTGTCTTCTTTATTGTTTATTTCAACTTCTCCCTTAATCCTTATTTATTCCATTTCATTTCACGCTTACAACAACCCTTCTCTTCTTTTCTTCCTTCTTTTCTTTTAATTCCCTTTTATTTTTGGTCATCTCTCCTTTTCTTTTCCTTCTTCTCATCGTTTTCCTCTAATTGCCATCTTTTTTTTTCTGAAACATGCCAATAAATTTTAAAAAAAATCAATATTCGATTGCTAACTTCATTTTATTTGAATAACAAAAATCGTACGCATTTAAAAAAAATGACAGATGATTAAAAAAAAGTTTTTTTTCTCTCTCTTTTAATTTTTCTTTTCTTCCTTTTTCACTATTCAAAAATAGAGAACGTCCATACTTACGAGTGAACGTGCGCATGTGTCGTGTCTTCATGCGCGTGTATGATTGTTTAAACTTTTATTGCCTCAATCTAAAAATCATTTATCTGCTAAAAATTGTTTTGTAGCGAATAAATAGTCCCTAAATTTTCCACGGACTCTCGGGTAATTATTTTCATGTCTTTATCTCCAGCGCAGCGGGCATTATTTCCTTCAAATTTAATTTAATTTTTCTTATTTTGTGCGCTTATTAAACATAATGCTGTTAATATACTTCCGTTTCCTTCTTTCCCTCCCTTTCTCTTAAATATGTGTACATATAGGTGGGGCGGGCCCAGCTAACCTTCCATTACGTCATATTCCGGTGTAGCCAATTATTGCCGTTATGAGGTTCCATAGTTCCCATCCTCGATTTTATCCATATATTAAAAAAGAATGATAATAATTATTAATATTTTTTGCAACATTGCACAGGTCATGTGTTCTGTACGAAGAAGAAAGAAAAAGTAAAGAAAATTAAAGAAAAAAGAAGTAAAAATAATTTAAAAAACGAACACGCCTCGCCATCTGTATTTTTGATCACCAGACCAGAAAAATAATTCTTTTGGATATTTTTCCTTATTTAATGTATTATGTTTTTCAATCATATATATTATTTTTCAACGATCAGTGTTTTTTTTGTTCTTTTTTTTTTTTTTTTTTTTTTTTTTACCGATTTTTCCACAGGTTGCCGCTGTTGTAAAACATAGAACCCTTCTTTTTGGTAATATTCTGACATATCTTGCGAATATGAAAGGATGATTTATAAAAGTAAATGAACTAAAAAGAGGATATTGAAAATTTGGAAGAGCGAAAGATACAAAAGGACAATGGAAGAAGTGATACATGTGTTTAGAATGAAAAGAAAAAGTGAGAAATCCTTTTTTGATGGCTTACAACAAAATGATGACTGATTATGCAATTATTATTATTATTATCATTATTATTATTATTATTATTATTATTATTATTACAATCAATAACTTAGTCTGGTCTCCTTGTTACATTTGTGCTGTAGCCACGGTTGTGAAGTATTTTTTCTGTATTTGACTTTAAAAACGTTTTAATATTTTATTGTTTAAAAAATAATTTTTACACAAAAGTAACGAAAGCAATAGTAATATTTTAATGATCGCGAATTATATTTCAAAAAGTAATAAAGTTTGTCTCTTTTTTTCTTTTTTGAGAAAAGAAGTAGCAAATATTCAACTTGTCTTGCCTCATACGAATGTCTTATAAAAAAAAATCACATGACTATATGCTCGGGATATTCTATGATTTGACGGTAACTACCCTTTAAAATAATAAAATAAAACAAAACATTCTGGCGAATTAACATTTATTTATCTTAAAAATAAAAGAAATAGAAATATCATCTTACCGATCTTTCAAAGTTACTTCCGCTCATAAAATAGTTCCCTCAACATTGAAAAATTCCTGAGATATTTTTTGTCATTTCGTGATTTAGGAAATATAAGGGACAATACGAGACATCGATTAAGGTTTTGTCTCTTTCCTCAACTTTCCTATGATTTTCTGAATGGTTGTGATAATATGTGAATATAAGTGACTGCTAAAAATATTAAAAAATACCAAAAAAAATCGAAATGGTCGGGTGGGGTAATATTGATTTTGAAATAAAAAAAATCAATAGTAAGAAAGCAATACTGCATTATGCAAACTGTAAAACGTAATCAATTGTGAGTTTGAATACTAAACTCTTAAGTTTAAAAAAAATAAAGCATTTTTTTTAACAATTTCTCTTCCTTGTTTATTTTTTACTGCTGAAGTCTTCCATCCAACAATGCTGAAATAAAACTTTTGAAAAAAAAGCTGACATTTTTAATTCTCATTAAACAGAAATTACTTCCTATAATTTTTTTTTAAAACGAAAACCAATAAAACTGGTCCATTAATAAACAACATACCAAAAACAGATTAATTTTTATACTGTAAAGAAATAGAAAAGTATGAAAACAACAAAAACAATTCGAAATTAAATATCGTAACTTTTTCAAAACATAAAAAGTAATATAACATTCTATTTAGGAAAAACAATTTTGAAAAGAATAAAGAATTGAACCAGAGGAAACACGTCGGAAAACATAAATCTGAAAGGTCTAGAATGTGTATGTGTGCGTGCATGCGAGTTGGTGTGATTGAAATTTTTGCACTGTTTTTTCAAAGCACATGCGCAAACGGAAGTGAGTGAATAAGGGCTTGTAGATAAATTGATCATGCTATTTCAGCGCACAATGCGTTATTCGTATTGGTAGTTTTTCATTCTTTTTAAGACAGAGACATTTGACACACCGGAAACGAATTACTCTCAGAATCAAAGTAGTTTCATTTAAATCAAATTTGGCTTCCATGAAAGAAAAATCAAATCAAAATGAACAGACATACTGTCATATATATATATATATATATATATATATATATATATATATATATATATATATATATATATATATATGTGTGTGTGTGTGTGTGTATTGTTCATCATGTCATTTAAGAAAGGAAGATAAATATATATGCAAATTTAGTGATCTTTTTGTTATAATGAATTTGGAGGAGTCAATTTTTCTCCTTGAAAATAACTTCTTGATATGCAAGGATTTTTTTTTAATTTATCGTTAATATTGTCACAGACGTTTTTAAAAAATGAAGAATTTTCAAATCAATATGAGGCTTGTGACGGTCTGGTGGGACTAAATACGGATACTGAGGTTTTTTATTCATTTTTTTATTGTGTATTTTTTTTTCACGGATAAAGTTAATATAATGTGGCCAAGAAAACAACTGGTAATTTTCCCCCACCTTAAAATATGAATGAAAAAGGCAAAAAGAATAAAAATAATAATTATAAAGAAGACGAACGCAAACACAATTATCTGTAAATGTTCATTCCTATACTCCCATGTTACACCGGACCTTTTTATGTGTTGTTCCCATTTTTTTCAACTTTACTCTATGAAAAAAGAGTTTTTTTTTCAATTCATCTTTCAGTGGCCTTCAGAAATTTTGTACAAAACACGAAAAGAAAGGAAATCAATAAAAAGAAAGATTGTATATCATGAAAGTTTTCGGTTATCATTTCGCTTCTTTTTTTTGAATTTTGTCAAATCGATGTTGTATGTTGTTTATATTGTGTTTAAACGTTTGCTTGAAAATACATACATACACACACACATGCACACAAACAAATATATATATATATATATATATATATATATATATATATAGCGATGTGGAATACTGAAAGAAAAGACATCTGTCTTTGCAATAAAATGCTTGATCCCCAAAATAAAAGCCAGATCATCTACACTTGGAATGCAGATATGGTATCCACTCAAAAGGGAGTTTGATATTGTAATTGAATTTATTTGCAGATATAATAAATTCTTTAAAAGATGTTCCTTAATTTTCTCCAAAAAGACGTAAAATTTTATGTAATATGGACTTTCTATTAATGCAAAATGTATTAATATTGAGTCCTTTATTGACAAATACTTCTTACCTTAAATGTATTATTCTTCAGAAGCACTCTAGTATACCGATAACCGAAGTTAAGCAACGTCGTGCATGCTCAGTACGTTGTTGGGTGACCGCTTGGGAATACCAGATGTTGTAACCTTGGATGTGCAGATGGTGTAATGGATAATGACTTGGAATGGCCCAATCATTAGACTAATATCCTAGTAGTTTTCCAGACATTTTGTACTGCAGATCAGTCCTTTTAAATCTATTAAATGGCGCAGTATAATTAATACTATAAAGAAGTAGTCATCCAAAGAATGAATCAGTAAAGTTAATATAATTAATGGCGAATATATATATATATATTTATAGATGAAATGGAACTAATGCTTTTAATTTAATTGCAAAATTAAATTCGGGGCTTTTAGCTTCTATTTTTGAAACATGGTTGGAACTGTGTAGCGAAAAAAACCATATTTTAAATCAATTAATTTATAATATTAATGCTCTGTAAATTTAGATTGAGCACTATTTTATAAAAATAAAAATATCTATAAGAACACCGGATATTTACTGTTCTTTCTTTATATATATATATATATATATATATATATATATATATATATATATATATATATATATATATATATATTGGCGTCTCTGCAAGAGTGTATTGAACAATTGCAAACCCTCTATACCTCCTTTATTCAACCAGTTCGAAGTCCTGACCTCCTCTACCGACAAGGCTGAATGCTTTGCTCGGAAATTTTCATTCAACTCGACGCTCGACTCTTCCTGTGTACCCATACCCGACTTCCCTCTTAGAACTGAGGCCATATTGAGTGGGTTAAACATAACCCCAACTTTGGTACTGGGCGTTATCTCCA